CAGAGAAAATGTAGAGAGTTTCCCCAGCTTACTGACTTGTATGTCCCATGTAACAAATTTATTTGAATAGGCCAAGCTCAGAAGAAACAAGTTTTTCTCCAACCTCTGCCTTCAGACATATTTCAGAAATCATCCTTTCTCACCTCTTGGTGGCATTAGACAGCCTACAGGCTTCTAAGGCTCATCTAATTTTCAGGTTTTGAGAAATGTAAATGAAAACACCAGTCTCACATCTAATTATAATCTTCATCTCCTCCCCATCTCAGGGCTGATGTAGAGGTTGGAGGCCAGCAGGGAAGAAAGTGGGGATTCAGTGATTTGCTCCCTCTACTACCTCCTTTCCCTTCCTCTTGCTCTTATAAGACCATGGAGTTGTGGGCCTGGGAGAAATTGCTTGCCTGGCACTATGGTGATCTGGCCTCCACTGGGGAAGGAGACCAAATGCAGGCTGCTTCCTGCTCTTCAAGACCCTGAGAGGATTCCTGCACTTCATCACTCCTTGGAAAGGGAGAGACACTTAACTGCTCAACTCCTCTCAGGCCTTGCCTCATTGAGGAACATGCCTAGCCTGTCTCTGCCTAGTTCTCTTAAAACAGGAAATGGTCAAGGCTGATGTTAGAAGTCTCACCATGGGTAACAGGACTCATATGCAAAAATCTCTTGGAGAAGAGCCTTCATTCCCAGGAGGAACACAGGTGGCTAAGGCTGCCATTCCATCTATGTTATTTCAAATAGTGTATAGTAGGTTAACAGTAAATAGTTATGGAGTAAATGAGATTCTGTGGCAATTCCAAATTCCAGAATTCAGTGTTGTTACTTATCATCTATCCCACAGTCATCATCACCACTTAACAGTAACTGTATTTCTTGGGTGTAGACCCTGAATAGCCAATGCAATCCTGAGAAGGAAGAATAAAGTGGGGGGGGGGGTCTCACTCCCCAACTTCAAGCTCTACTACAAAGCCACAGTAATCAAGACAATTTGGTACTGGCACAAGAACAGAGCCACAGACCAGTGGAACAGAATAGAGACTCCAGACATTAACCCAAACATATATGGCCAGTTAATATTTGATAAAGGAGCCACGGACATACAGTGGGGAAATGACAGTCTCTTCAACAGATGGTGCTGGCAAAACTGGACAGCTACATGTAAGAGAATGAAACTGGATCACTGTCTAACCCCATACACAAAAGTAAACTC